GGGTGGGGCGGGGCGGCAGGTGTGAGGGCGGGCGCCCGCGTTACCAGGGAGACTCCTCAGGAGTCCCAACTGTCCCAACGGTCCCAACGGCCCCAACGGTCCCAACGGCCCCAGTGGCACGGCCGGCGGGGAAGGCAGCCCTCAGGAGACGCCGTTAACTCTGGGATGATTTTCGAGCCCACTGCGCTGCGGGTCGCCCTGCAGGCAGGTCCCCGTGTCCCTCAGGCATCATGAGCCTGGGGCGCAGTCTGGCCTGTGCCTCCTGCTCGCCCCTTCCTCTGAGCCGTGCATGATCCTACCTCAACCCTCAAAGCACCAACCCTCAAAGCACCAACCCTCAAATCAGAGGAGAGTTGGTTGGACTGGAAGAAAGAGGGTAGGAACAATATTTTGCAAGCAGCCTTGAGTATGGCTTTATGCCACTTGACCGAAAGATGAAAAAAAACTCCCAAGACCTTAAACAGATCCCAGATTGTTTTTCCAATGAGTTTGAAAATCATCTCAAAGTTAGTGGCCTTGCCTAAAGTCTACCTTGGTGATGGCTGGGGATGGAAGCATGTTTTTACGTGACTAGGAGGTTGAGAAGGTTTTTATATGGTGACATCAAGGGGCAGGGTGACATGAAGCCAAATGATTAAAAGAAAGTTACTTGTGGAAACAATGTGGCTGGCAAGCGGGCTGGTGGCACTGGCATGAGCCTCACAGGCACGGAGCGTCCTCGGCAGCCTCGAGCACGGCTGCCTCGCAAAGGCCTTGGTACATGTTCACACACTACTTCAGCATACAGAAACAGATAGTGTTTATCTACACCATTATCAAACTCATAAATAAATAAAAAACTAATTTAAAATACCATTTTGGTCTAGTTGAGTGCAATCACCTTTATATGGAATAATGTCGCGTTACCCATGTGGCTACTAGAGGGTACATGGGAGGGCGTCCCTGGAGAGCTCCCCTGGATCCCATTTCAAGCTCTTTTGGTTTAGTGTAAATCGTGCCTAAATAGCATTTTTTGAAATCTGGTTATCAAAATACATGCAATATACTTATTTAAAGTAACTTTTGTTGTAAAAGCTCCTAGTGAAGGATGATTAGAGAATGCAGATGTGTAGTCTGGGGAGGATCAGGAGAATAGCAAGCAAGAGAGTATTAGAAGTACAAAAAGGTCATTTCTTGTAGGAATCAAACCAGAAGAAACTTTTTGTACCTAAGTTATGTTGATTTCTAAAATATTGATTAAAAGCAAAGGAATTTAAGCAGCCTGAAGCTGTCCAGTTTGTATCCCAAACAGATCTCTCACCCTAATACAGTAAAGAATAGTCCTCCTGGTCCTGAATGTATGAACTGCAGCATTAGGTTTGAGGGAGTCCCAGCTTTCCATCGCGATATGCTCAGGATAGGGTTGCCATCCATCTAAACTGTAGCCCCACACTGCTGTCATTGGAAAATAACTTCAAAAGCTATCGTGATTATGTCAATACCTTTCTGCCAGTAATGCCTTTCAGCTTGCTCAGGCCTCATTTGTTCTCTGTCCTCTGTAAATATGCAGAGAGGTTGTCCTTGCTTCAGAGGCTTTAGAGCTAAGAAATGGTTACACAGTCTCCAAAATCAGGTCATTGCCTTTGAATTCGCAAACATGCCTGTACAGAGTTCACAAACCAGCAGAGGCCACTTCTGGGAACAGAATTGTTGGTCAATCTTAAAAGGTTAAGCCTAGGAAGTTACAGATTTCAGTACAATGGTTTAAAACATCTACTGTAGTTGGGACATACTAAATCTATCTGTTGGGCTGGCTCTATACCATGAAAGAAGACCAACCTATAGTTTTTTATAGTATTATTCCTGAGCTCCAGCTAAAGGTGGTATATCTTATTTTCCCCAAGTAGCGAATGCAAGCAAAGAAGCCATCAGAAAAAGGTTCCTTCTTCTTTCTCTGTGTGCTGCTGCTTAACATTTTAACTGTTCACTTTTTGAAAAACTCCAGCTCCATGAACCATGAAATTCTCGAGACGTTCCCTGAACCTTTCACTGTGATTTTGCAGTGTGCTGGGATGTTTTGTCAGACTGATGCCAAAATGCAGATAAAACATGGAAACGTGTGAGGAAGTCACAGTTAACCTCACACAGTCCTACAGAAAAATGTTACCTCTCCCTTACCAAGGTCCCATTTGCCTAGGGTGAACACACCATGGCTCAGCTGTTGGAAGAAGCCCAGAAATCATTTAATTCTGGCATTTTTGTATGACATGCTCTTTACAAGCTTTCCCTCCCCTTCCTTATCTCTGCCTGCTCAGCTCTACAATGCTGAGAAAGACAGTGCCAGGCAAGAGCAAACACAGGGAGCAGCTGAGGGTGCAAGGGAGGAACAGAGCCTGCGGGAATGCCTAGCAGTGACCAGTAAGGAGAGTAGGGGCACAGGCCACAATGGGATTGCTCTAAAGGAAACAAAGACTTTGGCAATAATTCCTGCTTGTTACTTCACTGAAGAATGGCCAAAAAAAGAGGGAAGTTCATATACCAAAATTAAAGCTACATAATTTTTTGTATGTTTTATATTCAGCTCAAGATGACCAAGTCCTTTCGCATCCCACTGGCGAAATAGGGGCTTTCCACCCTCTTCCCTGCAGCAAAGCAGTACTTTTGAGTTACAAGTATAACTCATACTCAGGTCATCTGTTTATTACTCTAATTTCAAAAAATATTAGTTGAAGAGACCTTCTGGGAAAACAGACCTCGCCAGCCATGATATCTCTCTCCCAACACTGAGGACTGAGAAAACAAAAGCAATGTTGTAAGTCAATAAAATTACACTTATAAAAGAAAGACTTTGACACATTTTATTGACCCAATAATGTCTAATCTTATTAGCCTGATACATAGATTTGTGTTTGCTATTAGATTTCTGATAGCGAGATTTTGCAGACTAGCAGATGTTTCTTCTGCAGAGGGAATAATCAATTTCAGACAGTAACCAGAAGAGGTAGTTTCAACTATTTCGAGACCTCAGGTCATAAATGGAATTACAAACTCTTTAGACCTGTGTTTCCATGGATTTCCATGTCCCAAGAGCATGCCCTTAGTTTCTCCAAGCCCCCATGTCTGGGACCTGACGAAAGTCACTAAATGGAAAGGAAACTGATAAATACGTTTTAATTGTTTTAAGGCAGTGGAAGGCAGAGATAACACTACACATGTAAAGTACCACGTTTTTGTTTTAATAAAATCTCACATATATTCCAGTTACAAGGTGACAAAACAAAGGGTCCTAAAAACCAAAACACTTCTCTCCAGGGTGAGGTATGCTACGACAGAAGTGGTGGGTTCAATAGGCAGAACAGTGGAGGTACTTTTGTCAGTTGTGCACAACCACCCACCTCACCTCCTGGACACAGGGCAGCACTCCAAAAACGTCAGCCACAGAGCACAGCCAGCTGTACTTTTTCCACACTCCCTGTAACAGTGGGGTGAGGAAAAGTACTGTGAACTGCTGCACAAACTCCTTCTGCTACACACTGCCACCAGCACACAAACATCCAACCATGAAAACGTTGTGGAAAATAAAACTTTGTGCAAGTCACACAGGCTGGAAATGGTAAAACACACAGCACAAGATCTGATGGATCCTTAAGCAAGCCTTTGTATAAATGCACAGATATTCCTTGGTATAACCACGTCTTTCAAGAAATGGGGAACCTGAAAATAGGATAATTTGAAGGAATAATTGTTGGTCGTCTTAGCCAGCCTGGGACCCTTCTGCTGGTACAGACGGCCAGAAAGAAGGGTCATCTCCCTTGCAAAGTGTGGGGAAATCTGGACAAACCTGAGTACATCTGTGGTCCTCAATAAAGCCAAATGTGCTCTGGAATTAAACAAAGTTCTCACTGATACATGTGATGATAAGAGAACTTTGTCAAGGCTCATGTAAGTGTGGCAATCACCAGACTGCTCAGCCCCATGACCAGGCATGCTGGAAAGCTAGTCTTGGCAGCCCAGCTCGAGACAAAGACCTTGAACCGTTTTAGTACCATCTGTATGGCCAATTGCCCCACTCTTAGGCTACGTATGCACAGGAAGCGAGGGCAGAAGAGAATCACAGAGGAGAAGATTTAGAATTACACAGATAAGATCATAAGAAGAAAGAAGAGGATGGCACTGGTCATCTCCGGGTTATGTCTTTGCCAGAGCTTTGTTCCAACGGGCGTCCCGCAGAATTATAGGAAAGTCACGACAGTTCTGTTCTTGCCAATCTGCCAGGGCTCCACTGGGTAAAAGCGGATGATAATCCTTTTTGAATATAATAAGAAAAATACAGAAAGTAAAAGTTATTATTTTACAATTAACTACTCCTATGCAGTCTGCAGTAAGCTAGAAATTCTGCACTAAGCTCTCAACAGCTCCCACCTCACGACATTCATTTAACAGAAGCAAATACAGGCTGTGCACAGGCAGGGTTCAAAGGGGTGGCCAACGCCGCCCTCGTAAACAGAAAAGCAGACTGAGTTTGAAAACTGTAGGTGATATCTGCCTGATTTAGAAGCACCCAACATCTTACAATCTGCTCATGCATTTACCACAACAGAATTCCCTTGGGAGGGAAGAGGGCAGAGGGAGGCACGGCTTACCTTCAGGAACAACCCCATTTCAGCCGTTGGCCTGGCTAGCCCATCACGGAGCTCTACAGAACACCAGTTTGTGCTGGCTTTTTGTCCCAGGCATGGAAACATTGAGAGAACAGGAGCTCCAGGCTGCTCAGAGTGCGCAGGGCCCTCCACGTCTTTACCTGCACCGGCTCCTAACCTGCCTATGGGGGACTCGCCATCCAAGAGCACTTAATGTTCGCCATCTAGTCCGGGGTGTGCGTTAGGGCTTAGTCCCATGGAGAACACGACCACTCACATGATCAACACTTGGAACTCCTCCAGATGTTTCTTTCTGGTGCATCCCACACACTTGCAGCTCCTGACGCTGCAACGAACTGGAGCCCAAAGCAGCTGCGTGGCCAGGGCCAGCCCCACACCTTCCTCTCCCCTTCTGCGGGGTTTTTCATTGACCAAATTTAACTGCTCCCCCGCTCCTCCCTTCCCAAGGGGCACGGGGGTTGGCCGGGCCGGGCTGCACTCACCGCTCGGGGCCGAGGCCCAGCTCGGCCGTGAGGAAGTCGAAGAAGCGGGCGCTGTGCGCGCGGTTCTGCTCCGCCGAGCCCACCACGCCG